TCCTGTAGCCCATACCAGTGCCTTTCTGGAGGGAACATATTGAAGGCAAATTTTCTCAATACCACCGCGCGTCTATAAAAGTAGGAGAACGAGTTTACATGGTAAACATCACTCATGGAGATGATGGAAGGAAAACATTGCAGAATGGCGACGCACTACAAATGTTTGAAGAAAATGAAATCTTAGAAGGGACAACCTGCACTTTCTTCCTTGTGCGAGATGATGTAGACATGATCCAATTTAGGATTAAGATGTAGTGAGTGTGATCTATTGTCTTTTGTTCTCTGATATGATGGAAGTGTTATTTAAAAACTTATTTGTTGTTGGTCTGATGGATGTTTTGTTATTATTTAATGTCATTTGGTATCTTTTGGTCTTTTTGTTAGAAATGTTTGTTAGTTATTCTAACCTAGCAACAAGATATATCTAACATAGCAGCACTGGAGAACTAACCTAGCAAGAAGATAGAACTAACCTAGCAACAACAAAAAACAAACCCTGCAACATGCTAGAGCTAACATTAAATCGTCAGACAACTAACTTAGCATAGACAACAAAGAAGTACATAAACTAGCAACATCAGACAACTAACTTTGCAACAACACACAACTAACATAGCATCAACTAACCCAGCGGGATTAAAGAAATAACCTAGCAACTTCAGACTACAAACCTGGCATTTATAGACGACTAACATAGCATCAATAGACAACTAACCCAGCGGAATGAAAGAACTAACCTTTCATCAATAGACAACTAACCCAGCAACAAACTAAACTAACTCAACTACTCAACATTTAAACTACTCAACATAAGACAACTAACCCTAGCAACATCGGACAACTACCCCCAGCAACAACAGGAAACTAATCTAGCAACAAGAGACAACTAACCTAGCAGTAGCAGGCAACTAACATAGCAACATCGGACAACTACCCTAGCAACAAGAGATAACTAACCTAGCAACAAGAGACAACTAACCTAGCAACAAGAGATAACTAACCTAGCAACAAGAGACAACTAACCTAGCAACAAGAGCCGACTAACTTAGCAATATTTATATCATATGAAAAGTTGGGTATTTAAGTCGGGTAGTTATTGCTCAGTAATGGCAGACTTCATATAAAGTGGACAAAAATTAGGGTTACACTGCATTGTCAAAGGCTAAAATAATTTTGTGCCGTCCTGCCAACGATAACGAATATGGATCACCCGACTATGGATGAGATGAATGACGATAACGAATACTCACTGCCATGGTTCTATATCCGTGTTGTGCCAAGGGTTCTCCACTATATGGTAAAGTTCTTTGTTTTAATTCTTCTTTTAATAACGCAATGTTACATATAAAAAGCACACTTCAACTGAAAAAAAGAAAATATGCTGTGATTTTCCAGCCCTTTCCACCATCAACGCACTACTATTTCCCTGACGAGGATCTGTCCCGGAGATGCATTATACATACATTAGAAGAACGCACGTACGAGACTGTGATAAAAAGGATTGATGGCTGCCCAACAATTGTAGATGGTTGGCGTCAGTACATTGTTACAGAGGACGTTGAACTTGGTTTCTTATTGACCTTCAGACCAACCAGCAACTTAGACTATGAAATTACAATCATTGACCGCGACGATTGTAGTCGGCTGCCACAACATACTTTCAATGTCAAGATTAAGCCCACACATGTTGAACGTGTCCGTTTGGTAAGTTTAATAAATTTCATCTGGCTGCATAATTAACTTGCTTGTATTTAAATACGTATAATACATATGAATTACTTTATTCTTGTAGCCCATACCAGCGACTTTCTGGAGGGAACATATCGAAGGCCAATTTTTTCACTACCACTGCGCACGTATCCAAGTAGGAGGGAGAGTTTACAGGGTAAACATCGCTCAGGGAGATGATGGAAGGAAAACTATGCAGAATGCCGACGCTCGACAATTGTTTGCAGAAAATGCAATCTTAGAAGGGACAACCTGCACTTTCTTCCTTGTGCAAGATGATGTAGACATGATCAAATTTAGAATTAAGATGTAATGAGTGTGATCGTTGTGTCTGATGGAAGTGTCTTTTGTTGTGATCTGATGGAAAAAAACTTGTTTACTGTATTTTGAACGATGGTCTTATGGAACTGTTTTGTTATAAATCTTATTTGATGCATTTTTTGTTATTATTTAATATCTTTTGATATCTTTTGATCTTTTTGGTAGAAGTGTTTGTTATTTATTCTAACCTAGTAACTACGTATAACTAACCTTGCTAGGTTAGTTATCTGATTCTGCTAGATTACCTCTTTCTTGTTGCTAGGTTAGTCAACTTTAGGTGCTAGTTTAGTTGTTTATCGTTGCATAGCTAGTTATCAGTAGGTGCTAGTTTAGTTGTTTATTGTTGCTAGGTTAGTTATCTGTAGCTTGAGAGAACTAACCTAGCAACTGGTGTACAACTAAGCTATCAACTGCATAGATATAACCTTGCTAGCAACATAAGACAACTAACCCAGCAGCTTGGTTATATCTAACATAGCAGCAAGATATATCTAACATAGCAACAAGATATATCTAACATAGCAGCACTGGAGAACTAACCTAGCATCAATAGACAAATAACCTAGCAGCTACAGACAGCTAACATAGCAACAAGAAACATTTAACATAGCAGCAAAAATTAACTAACCTAGCAACAAGAAAGAAGTAAGCTAGCAACACAAGACAACCAACCTAACAACAATAAACAACTAACCTAGCAGCACAAGACAACTAACCTAGCAATAAAAGACAACTAACCTAGCATCTACAGATAACTAACCTAGCAACAAGAAACATTTAACCTAGCAGTAAAAATATAACTAACCTAGCAACAAGAAACATTTAACCTAGCAGCATAAAATAAATAACCTAGCAACAAAAAATAACTAACCTAGCAACAAACTAAACTAACTCAGCTACTCAACATTTAAACTACTCAACTAACTTTGCAACTTTAAGCAACTAAACTAGCAACTACAGAATATTAACCTTGTAATTCCTTGCATAAAAAATAAAACTAATATTGCATCAAAAAATAATATTTACATCAAAAAAATATACAACTCCAAAAAAAAAAATAAAAAAAAAACATTGTTACTGAAATCAAACTACAAGTCAATTGTCTTTGAAATGGACACTCTTCACCCTTTTGGCAGGTTTCTTCTTTCCTCCAAACACATCTGCCTTCTTATCGTTTTCTGATTTCAGCTCATTGAATTCATTTAGGACAATTTCCGAGCAGTATTTAATACGCATTTGTTTCAACTGCTCAGGATTATCCTTTAGAAGACCAGAGTTCCAATTTTTAATGCCAGCTCCAAAATATGTTTCCATGTGGCGCATGACGAACACTCCACAGTCTACTTTATTCTTGTCATCTCTCCATGGCAAATCAAGTCTGACTGGCTTCAATTTGGAAACAAGTGATCCACATTCGAGCATTCCTTGGGATTTCAAATATTCAACAAGTAGTTTTTTCTGAAAAAAAATAACAAAAAGAAAGAACAATTATTAAAAATGTATTAACATTGCATGATATAATATTATAACTGTATATGCATTGTTCTAAAATTAATTTAAAAATATTACCAGATTTATATGTTGAAATTCATATTTTCCACATGTAAGGCCACCAACACTAGAATTGTCCAGTATGTGAATGTGATATGCTTTCAAATCAAAACAGACCACATAGAAGTGCTCACTCTTGCACACAGGAAAGAATATCTGATCAAAAAATAAAAATCATATAATATTAGCATGTTAGTAACTAAATAAAATAATCATTTCCAATTTAAAAATAAAAATTACCATATCAACATCTTCAAACTTAGAATGAGTCTTTGAATTTGTAAAATCATTATTCAAACTCTCGATGAATAAAGAGACTTTGGACTTCAAATCCCATTTCTGCCCAGCAATCGGGACACTGTAATTCTGGAAACAAATGAAAAAAATATCTTATAAAATAATAAATCAAATATAACTAAGCTAATCAAATATGTTATACAAATACCTAACCTACCACCAAAAGATATCTAACCTAGCAACAACAACAGACATGTAACCTAGCAACATCAGAAATAAAACTAACCTAGCAGCAGTATATATCTAACGTAGCAACAGGTCATAACTAACCTAGCAACTTCTGACAACTAATCTAGCAACAGCTTACAAGTACCCTAGCAACTACATATATATAACCTAGCAGCACCAGAAATAAAACTAACCTAGTAGCAGTATACAACTAGCGTAGCAACAAGTGGTAACTAACCTAGCAACTTCTGATAACTAACTTAGCAACTACAGAGTACTAACATAGCAGCATCAAAAAACAACTAAAATTGCACCTTCAATGTAAATTCAATAACAGGAAATAACAAAAACAAAAAAAATATTAAAGTAAATAAGAATAAAATATATAAGTAAACTTACACTAGAGTATGTTGATGCAAAAAATCTCAACGGCTGGCCAGGTTTTCTGGATTGTTCTCTTAAGTTCAAAATTCTGGACCAGGTATCAAGTACAGAGACACTGATGTATTGATCTGGTCCTAAAGACTTGAGATCTTCTTTCATTAAAATTAGATCATCGTTCTGAAAAATTGTCTCAAACCTGACAGCACAAAAATAAAAAAACAACAATAAAATATAAATTTGGAATTATAAATGCAATAAAATATGAAAATTATATTAAATTTCTTGGGTAAGAAAATATACATTGTCTCCTCATCTTCATGCAGTATCCAATTATATATTTCTTCATCTCTTGCACCTGCTTTTGATATGTTCATTTGTTTTGCAACATCTTTCTCTTTTGCTTTTTCTTTCCTTTTTGCCTTCTCCTCTTCTTTCTCTTTCTGCTTTCTTTCATTCTCCTCCTTCTCTCTCTCTTTCAGCGCTCTCATTTTGTCTTCTCTCTCTTTCTTTTCTCTCTCTTGTCTATCCTTCTCCTCTCTCTCTCTCAACTCTCTTTCTTTCTGCTGTTTCTCTTTCTCCTCTCTCAGTTTCTGGTCTCTTTCTTCCTCCTCTTTCCTCTTCTTCTCTTGCTCCTCCTCTTTCCTCTTCTTCTCTTGCTCCTCCTCTCTCTCCTTCTTTTCTCTCTCATTCTCTTCCATCCTTTTCTTTTGTCTCTCTTTCTCCTCTCTTTCCTCTCTTTCTTTCTCCTCTCTCTTTCTTTTCTCTCTTTCCTGTCTTTCTTTTCTCTCTTTTTCCTTTGCTTCTTTTTGCTTCCTCTCATTCTCCTCTCTCTCTCTCACTTCTCTCTCTTTCTCCTCTCTATCTTTATCCTTCCTTTCTTTCAACTCTTCATCTGTTTGATTCAAAAATGCAACAACATCTTCAGAAACTAGTTCTTCATCTCTCTCTATGTCTTTCTCTTTCTGCTTCTCTGTGACTTTCACTTTTTCTTTTTCAAGTGCCTGTCTCTCTTTCTTCTGCTTCTGTTTCTCAGCCATAAAGATAGAGATAGGTTGGTTCTCTATGATCTCTGGCTCAACATCATGATCAGTTGCAAACTGCCTTGAAACATTTAAAATGTCCTCCCAACATCTGTCACTTTCTTGGGACTGGGAGGACAACCCCAATCCCAATGAAAAACTGGGAACATCATCACCTTGTGACTTCTTCTTGTATGCAGCTCTCTTCCCAATAGCATGCTCAATCTTCTCAATAGCTGCAATTGTTTCTGGATCATTCCAGAAAGCAGCTGTTTCTTCACTATCCTCAAAAGAACCTGTCTTCTGAGAAGATTGAGGTACATCGGGACTAACAGAAATAAGATTTTCCGTTGCTTGTTGTATCTTCTTGTAATTTAAATCATCGGTCACTTCGTGGGGGGCATCTTCAAGCAAGTTTATGACATCAACAACATCAGTGGCCAAGCACATAACCTTGCTTAGAAGCTTGGATTTATAACCCTGTTTATACATAAAATTAAACAGAGTGAACAATTATAAGAAAATATGGAGGAAAATTAAACAACTAACCTAGCAACAATAAACAACTAACCTAGCAGCAAAAGACAACTAACCTAGCAACAAAAAACATTTAACCTAGCAGCTAGAGATAACTAACCTAGCAACAAGAAAGAACTAACCTAGCAACATCCGACAACTAACCAAGCAACAATAAACAACTAAACTAGCAACAAAAAACATTTAACCTAGCAGCTAGAGATAACTAACCTAGCAACAAGAAAGAAGTAACCTAGCAACATCAGACAACTAACCTAGCAACAATAAACAACTAACCTAGCAGCAAAAAACAACTAAACTAGCACCTACAGACAACTAACCTAGCAACAATAAACAACTAAACTAGCACCTAAAGATATACCTAAAATAATTGCAATACAGACAAATAAAAAAAATACCAACCTGAACACAATCATCAGACACTTCCTTTTGTTTTGATTTTATTGACAGTAATGGCTCCAAACGTTTATCAACAAAACCTCGGCCAAAACCACCAATTTTGGCCTCAGCATTGGATCTCTTACGCAACAGCTCGCAGTTCCAACCAATAAAGGAGGGCAGACTCCTTGGAACTTCACGATTTACGAAAGCAAGCCGATCAACGTATAAAACCTGCATTTTGGGAGAAAAAAAAATTATATATATATATAAGAAAATGGAATACAAATTGTTTAAGAATAATATAAAAATACATTCTTACAACGAGAAAAAGAAGAGGCCCATTAAAAGCAGTCTTGTTGGTCTTTTCCCATTTCATTCTTTTTGAAATCAGACTTTGAAGAGTGTATTCACACCAATTCAAGTCAGATACATGTCTTATGTCATTAATGGACTTGAAGAAGAGTGGGTTCACATAACCAGCAGATATTGATCCAATTATCAGAGCATCCACCAAAGCAGCAAAATGACAACAGAACATTTCACCACCATCATGACACTCCAACATTTCCTTGCTCACATTTTCAGCAGTGATTTTGTCAGCAGATTGTGTAAACTTACTCCCCTACTTATCCAACAGCTCACAAGACTCAGATTTCCTCTTCAATTCAATAGTCTTATCCCCTCTAGGAAATCCTAATACCTTCTCCACATCAACAGATTCAATGTGGATTTTTCCATCACTGCAACGCAATACAGAGCTAATTGCGTCAAAATTATCCAACACCCAGAAAGATAAATGGGTTGGAATCTCTTTAATCTTAAGATTCAGCAAATTTCCAAAACCCATTTTCTGTACAGCTCTTTTCTGATCATCATTTAATTTGGCAATGGACTCAACCAACACTTTTGGAGAAGACCGTGTTGAGAGCCTTGGGAAATGAATTTTAGCATCAGGCTGCCGTTGACGAGCTTCACGTACAGGCTTGTGAGATGAATCAGTCAGCAAAAGAATCATCATCCCTCTGAGACTCCATTTGTTCAAATTAAACTGAGTTACAAAAAAACAAAAAAAACAAAAAATGTCAAATAGATATTACAAACCTTGCATCACACAGAAAAGTAAACTTGCAACTAACCAAGCAACATCAGACAACTAACCTAGCAGCATCAGAAAACTAACATAGCAGCAGAAGACGACTAAACTAGCAACATCAGACAAGTAACATAGCAGCTACAGGTAAATAACATAGCAACATCAGAAAACTAACCTAGCAACATCAGACAACTAACATAGCAGCAGAAAGAAACTAACCTAGCAACATCAGACAACTAACATAGCAGCAGAAGACAACTGACATAGCAGTAGAAGACAACTAACCTAGCAACATCAGACAACTAACATAGCTGCATAAGAAAACTAACCTAGCAACATCAGAAGACTAACATAGCAACATCAGACAACTAACCTAGCAGCAGAGGACAACTAACCTAGCAACATCAGACAACTAACATAGCAGCTACAGGTAAATAACATAGCAACATCATAAAACTAACATAGCAGCAGAAAGAAACTAACCTAGCAACATCAGACAACTAACATAGCAGCAAAAGACAACTAACATAGAAGCAAAAGACAACTAACCTAGCAACATCAGACAACTAACATAGCTGCATAAAACAACTAACCTAGCAACATTAGACAACTAACATAGCTGCATAAGACAACTAACCTAGCAGCAGAGGACAACTAACCTAGCAACATCAGACAACTAACATTGCAGCTACAGGTAACTAACATAGCAACATCAGAAAAATAACATAGCAGCAGAAAGAAACTAACCTAGCAGCAGAAGACAACTAACCTAGCAGTAGTAGACAACTAAGCTAGCAACATCAGATAACTAACATAGCAACATCAGACAACTAAAATAGCAGCAAAAGACAACTAACATAGCAACATCAGACAACTAACATAGCAGCATAAGACAACTAACCTAGCAACATCAGACAACTAACCTAGCAACATCAGACAACTAACATAGCAGCAAAAGACAACTAACATAGCAGCAAAAGACAACTAACATAGCAACATCAGACAACTAACATAGCAACATCAGACAACTAACCTAGCAGCAGAAGACAACTAACATAGCAGTAGAAGACAACTAACCTAGCAACATCAGACAACTAACATAGCTGCATAAGACAACTAACCTAGCAACATCAGACAACTAACATAGCAACATCAGACAACTAACCTAGCAGCAGAAGACAACTAACCTAGCAACATCAGACAACTAACATAGCAGCTACAGGTAACTAACTTAGCAACATCAGAAAACTAAAAATAGCAGCAGAAGAAAACTAACCTAGCAACATCAGACAACTAACCTAGCAGCATCACACAACTAACCGAGCAACATCAGACAACTAACATAGCAGAAGAGGACAACTAACCTAGCAACATTAGACAATTAACATAGCAGCAGAAGACAACTAACCTAGCAGCAAAAGACAACTAACCGAGCAACATCAGACAACTAACATAGCAGCTACAGGTAACTATCTTAGCAACATCAGACAACTAACATAGCAGCATCAGACAACTAACCTAGCAGCAAAAGACAACTAACCTAGATGCAAAAAGACAACTAAGCTAGCAACATCAGTCAACCAACATATCAGCTACAGGTAACTAACGTAGCACCATCAGACAACTAACCTAGCAGCAAATATAACTAACCTAGCAACATCATACACTAACCTAGCAGTATCAGACAGCTAACTTAGCAAAAAATAAACAAAACATATTACTTTAATCTATTAAATGAAAGAATGAAAAACCTAAATCGAAAAAGTTATTACAAACAAAAACAACAGCAAAAATACTCACCAATTTAAAGACGAGAATCAGCGAAATCACAGAGAATCTGCGAGAATAGACTACGAAGGATAAAACGGAAACAGAAAGTAACGCCCGAGAAATCGAAATCGAAATCGAAAATGGAAGAGAATGGAACAGAAACAACGAGCAAGTGCGAAAATGGAGAGGGAAAGTAGAGTAGAGAGTTCTGAAGACGTACCGCCCGCGAAATCAGAAATATTGATTAATGTACTAAATTAATATGATTGTTAAATAGAAAGTAGGACTCAACAATGAATTATTATATCGTTTTTTATACGGAATACCATACTTAAGAATTTTAACGTTATAGAGAATTTTAATGATGAGTATCGTTTTATATTCCAAATTACATATATATCATTGAAAGCTAACCTTGGAGTTCTAATTTTTGCAATAAGTGAAAACTGGAAGGAAAAAAAAAAAGTCGAGGTAATGAACCGTGAAAATGATATTTCTGAGGTATTTTCACTATGACCGACAACAATTTATAATGGAATTAATGGAACCAGCTGGGACACCTCTGAGTTCAGAAAAAAGTCGTATATCAATAGAAATATCAATTAAGAAACAAAAGAATTATAAATATATTCATTTATAAACGACAGCATCATACAATGATAGAAAGGTTTTTGAGAAACAAAAGAATTATAAATATATTCATTTATAGACGAACATTTGGCTCATTTATAAAATGAAAGCTAGAACATAAACCATTGGACTTGGCTCGACTTCAATAGCATGCTAAGCCAATACTCAAAAATAATTTTGTAATTTTCTACTCGTGTTATTCAAACGAGAGATATGATACAATCTGTAAGATTATATGGCACGAATTTGAAAGACTACCGAGTTGGCA